CGTCTTTGTGCTTGGGGGGGGGGTGTCAACAGTGGGAGGGCTTCTAATGTCCTGGCCCCACTGGTGGACCTCCTGATGGCACCTGGTATTTCTGGCCACTGTGTGATACAGAGTGTTGGACTGGATGGGCCTTTGGCCTGATCCAACATTGGCATCTCTTATGTTCTTATGTTCTTATGTTAATCGTGGCAGCTCCAACCAACTCATGTTTCCATTATAACAAATGTCTTTATGGGGACACTAAAGATGTATGCAGAAAACAGCACATTAGGCATCTCATAGCCAATGCTCCCTCTAAGCTGTGGAGACTTGTGCGTAAAAATTCTACTTTGTGAGCTACTGGCATTGAAGTTGCGAGTGAGCGATTTGGCTACTGCATAAATTAATTCGCTCTGGAGCCATCCTTCCTGAGCTGAGACAAAAACGTGTGAGCTGGAGGCTAAGAAACCACACTGACTCAGCTTAGAGGGAACACTGCTAGCATGGCCATGCTATGGATGTGAACTAAGACTCAGTTGACACAGGGCTAGTTTTTAAGGGACCCAGTCAATGTTCCCTCTAAGCTGCGGAGTCTTGTGAGCAGAAATTCTACTTTGTGAGCGACTGGCATTAAAGCTGTGAGTGAGTCAATTTGGCTACTGCATGAATTAGTTTGCTCTGGAGCCCTCCTTCGTGAGCCGAGACAAAAATGCGTGAGCCAGAGGCTAAAAAACTGTGATCTGGCTCACACTAACTCAGCTTAGAGGGAACACTGGACCCAGTCCCCGAGGACACCAGTTGCTCTTTACTGAAGTCAACGGAAAGTTAAATTGCAAAATAACCAATTTTTAACAAGTTTGGGAGCTGCGGTGGCTCAAGTGGTTAAGACGCTCAACTGCAGGCTGTGGAAGGTCAGTAGTTCAGCAGTTTGAGACCCGGGTGCCGCAAGATGGAGTGAGCTCCCGTCTATAGTTCCAGCTCCTGCCAACCTAGCAGTTCAAAAGCAAGAAATTGCAAGTAGACAAATAGGTACCACTTCGGTGGGAAGGGAACAGCGTTCCGTGCGCCTTGGTGTTTAGTCATGCCAGCCACATGACCACGGAAACATCTTCGGACAGCGCTGGCTCTTCGGCTTTGAAATGGAGATGAGCACCGCAACCCTAGAGTCGGACTCGACTGGCTTTCGAGCAAGGGAACCTTTACCTTTATATCCAAACTATTTTTACATAACTGTGTGTGTAAAGTGCCTCCAAGTTGTAGTTCACTCATGGTGACCCTGTAGGTTTTGCAAGGCAAAAGAGGTACAGCGGTGGGCTGCCATTACCTGCTTATACATAACAACCCTGGACTTCCTTGGCTGTCTCCCATCCAAGTACTAATCAGGGCTGACCCTGCTTAGATTACAGGATCTGATGAGATCAGGGTAGCCTGGGCCATCATCTTTTATATAAGTAATGAACCAGGTATGATAACATAGTATTTCAGTTCAGAGGGGAAACACTGTCAGGGGCAATGTCAACCAACAGTAGGGCAGTGCACCAGCCAAGACCTGTGATTCAGTAGAGGGCCCACCAGTTGATGTTTCCTTCTACCAGGAAACAAGAAATTATCCCAAAGGCCATACAACATCGTAGAACTCTCGAGAATGGTCTCCCATGTCTGGTTGGCGGGGGTAGGAATGGGCACAGAACACATTTTTGCAGTTTGGTTTGTGGTTCATGGCTGAACTGAAAACTGAACCATGAACTCATACTTATTTATCAATGACAATTCCCAGTGTAAACAACAACAAACCCCCCACTTATCAACTTTCTTTTAGTAGCGGCTAGGACGCTTATTGCTCAATGTTGAAAGAATGCTAAAGGGATTTCCTTGGATAGGTGGCACATTGAATTAAGGAATGCAGCGGCTCTTGAAAAATTAACAAATTCGATTAGATTAATTCAGGGGAGAAAAAAAGATGATTTTAAGATAATTTGGAATAGCTTTATAATTTCTTTAATGGAATTTCCAGACTATAACTCATTAAAGGATTTTCTTTAATGGGTGGAGACCCTTACCTGAAAATCTGAATAAGGCTCTGAATAGTTATTATTAGAGGATACTATTTCTCAGAAATGGAAAGAATGAGAATTATGTAAAATCTCAACCAGCTTAGATGGAAATTGATGGGAAGGGCACCCGAGTGAAGCCGCAGAGCATGGCTTTCTCACAGCACATACTGCAAAGACAACCTCCAGTTCGATCCTGCATTAAGCAGAGAGTTGGAACAGATGGCCTGAATGGCCCCTTCTGACTCTATGATTCTACGATTGTGTGATTTCTTGCTTAGAGACACATGTTGACTCTTCACAAGGTCTTCACAAGGCCTTCAACATTCCATGTTGACTCTCTAATAACAGAACCCAAGGGACCCTGAGTTCTGTTATTAGAGAGTCAACATGGAATGTTTCCTTCAAGAGTTGATAAGTAGAAATTGATAAGAATTGTGATTGCTACACACTCAGATAAAGCAGTTATTGTGAAACGAATTGTTTACATTGCACAGCATTCGTTGCGTGTGAGCGATAATAGAATTTTCTACAAAATTACTACAGTAAAATCTTTTGCAAACATATCTTTATTGACTTTTCGTTATTTTCATCACGGATGTTGTTTTTGGATTCCCCCTCCCTCCTAGCCAGCGGGGGTCCTCTCTGTGAACTTCCATCCTCTATGTTCCTATAAAGATATGTCTCTAAGTTACCAGAATGACTACACCTTTGAGCCACGCTGTCACCAAACCTGAGTAGGTAAGCTGCAAACATATGCATGGGGACAGCAGATGATGGTGCATCTTACCACAAGACTGGAAGGCATCTTGTCCGGAGCGCTACACAACTTGAGAGCCCAACCCAAATAGAAATAGGTAAGCCCAAGGCCCTCAGCTTATAACCTGTGCCACAAAGTGGGCATCTGCTCCTAAGCATTTCTTCTCAGCTGAATGCGCTGTCTGCTGCCCTTCTGCATCTCAAGCTCCCTCTTTGCAACACACTTCCCAACTTCTGACCGGAACAGAAGGACTTAGAGACCTCCATTCTGACTTCAATCTAATGAAGGGAGCTTTGCCACTCAAAACCTTATATCCCCAACATCTTGTTGGTGGCTAAGGTGCTACTGGACTAGAAGAAGACTACTGGTGCTAATGGACTAGAATGTAGCCGATCCTTTGTTGTGGTGTTGTGTTATTCTCTATGTTTTCGGGGGGGAATTCTCCCCCCCAGGTTTCTCTGATCTGTATGTTGGGAGAGGCGATAGCACACCGGAAGAGCATCTGCTTGGCATGCAGAAGGTCCCAGGGTCAGTCCTGAGCATCTCCAGTTAAAAGGGCCAGGCAGTAGGTGATGTGCAAGACATCTGCCTGAGACCCTGGAGGGACATCGACAGGGCCTGTGGCCCAGTGGCAGAGCATCTGCTCAGCATGCAGAAGGTCCCAGGTTCGATCCCCAGCATCTCCAGGGAAAAGGATCCGGTAGCAGGTGATGTGAAACACATCAGCCTGAGACCCTGCAGAGCCACTGCCAGTCTGAATAGATAATACTGATCTTGATGGCCCGAGGGGTCTGGTTCAGAATAAGGCAATGTCATGTGGGTTCCTGTGTATATGTTCCTTTTTTGCCACTTTCCCTTCACTTCAATCTACTGCACGCTGTTTACATGTTATGGACCACTTATACGCCACTGACGTAGGAAAATAACAGTAAAAGCTGTGTCAACTGAAAGGGGAGGAATTACTGTGAAACAGGAAATGGTGAGAAAATACCCACTGGTTCGACTTGCACATGGCAGAAATGGGATTCCTCTCTCTCTCTAGTCAAAAGAGCAGGGCCATAAAACGTAAACGAGAAGAAATGGATGAGGTCCACAGAAAACACATAACCTACAACCCTTATCTGTATGTTCAAGAATCGCAGGAACACCTCTCGTTGACTCACCTGCCATGCTCGATATATTAATAATCCTTCCTTTGGCTTTCCGGAGTAATGGTATGAATGTTTTCGATACTTCAACGGGACCAAAGAAATTCACCTCCATGCATTGCTTGTAGTTATTCATGGGAAGCAATTCAGCATCAGCGGGGAACCCCAATATCCCTGCATTGTTGATAACGCCCCAAAGATCTGGTGGGAGCAAAGAAGGAAGTGCATGCAACCAATCAGTACCTCGCTACTTCGGTAAGTCAAGTCGACCTTTGATCCTTGTATTTATCACCCCATTTACGTATTTTGCCAGGAAATCGACCCTTCTGCTTATCCACCTGCTGGGTTTTCATAAATCAAAGATGTGAAGCGGCAGCAAAAACCACATCTGTGGGGAGAGATTTCCCAAGTGGGAAATCCCACCACGCAATGTTCCCTCTAAGCTGAGTTAGTGTGAGCTAGCTCACGGTTTTTTAGCCTCCGGCTCACACATTTTTGTCTTCGCTCAGGAAGGACGGCTCCAGAGCAAATGAATTTATGCAGTAGCCAAATCGTTCGCTCACAGCTTTAATGCCAGTAGCTCACAAAGGAGAATTTTTGCTCACAGGACTCCACAGCTTAGAGGGAACATTGCCCACCAGTATTCACTCAGTGAATATTAATAGATAAGGGGGATATGACGAGACCCATCCATATTTGGTAGCCATGGCAGCAGAGGCCAAGTCAGCAACCATGAAATCATGACAAACAGGCCAAATTCATAACCAAATACAGTACCCGACAAGCAGCAGCAACTGGTATTTAGCAGGCTTGCAAAAGAACTGAGTAAATCTCAGTGTTCTTTACACTGCCTCTTCACACATTATGGAGTACACTGGTTGGGTCTGGGGTCCCCCACCCTGTGCCGTAAATGCGGGAAATGAGAAGAACCAGGGGTCATTCCGTAGAAAAAGAGGTGCAGGAGCTCATTAGCATAACTCATTAGCACAACTTATTTGCATATGCCACACCCCCTGACATCACTGGAAGTATATCAGAAGGCAACACCCACCACTCAGGCTCCACTGGACTGTTTTGGATTGCTAGCTATTGGGGGGGGGGAACGTGCAGATCTGCCCTCACAGAGGAGGGAGAGCTTGTACCTGAATAAAACTTGGTCTTAAAGGTGCCACTGGACTGTTTTGGGCCGGGTGGGGGGGGCTCTGCAGCTTACCTGGCTGCCTCTTGCTCTGACTGAGGGCTGCTGGGAGCAGGGGGCGGGGCTTGTTGCATGTGCCCACCCCTGGGCTCTTTACTGCTGGAGCTCCGCTCCTGTGCGCTCCTGCAGGAATTGACCCCTGAGAAGAACCCACAGCTCAAGTGTTACATCCGGCACAGGGTGGGCTGTACTCCATAATGTGCGGGAAACGACAGGGAATTGTCTTGTCAGGTTTTGATTATCAAATCAAACGAGTTGAAATTAAATCAGAAGAGTTTTCAGCTAAACATTAGGAAGAACTTCCTGACAGTAAAAGCGGCTCCCCAGTGGAACAGGCTTCCTTGGGAGGTGGTGGGCTCTCCTTCTTTGGAGGTTTTCAGACAGAGGCTCAATGGCCATCTGGCAGTAATGCTGATTCTGTGAACTTAGGCAGATCATGAGAGGGGAAGGCAGGATGGGCTGCATCAGTGCTTAGTTCTCATGGCCCTTTCTTACACACCCAGGGAAATACTGATCGCCACTTTGGGGTCAGGAAGCCATTTTTCTCCAGGCCAGTTTGGCTGGAGATCCTGGGTGGTTTTTTTGTCATCTTCTGGGTGTGGAACAGCAGTCACTGGGAGTGTGTGTGTGGGGGGGGAGGTATTTGTGAATCTCCTGCATTGTGCAGGCGGTTGGGTTAGATGACCCCGGAGGTCCCTTCGAGCTCTATGATTCTATGAAATGTGAATGTTGAAAACTCAGGTTAAACGTCAGTATTATAAAACCGGAAGTGGAGTTTGCGTTCTTTCCCTCTGTATTTGGGGTGGGTTTGTGGTGCAGTATAACCATTTAGTAATGTTTTTTAATTGCTAAAATAATAAATTCAATCAGGGTGGCCAACATCCAGGTGGAGCCGGGCGGTCTCTCAGAGTTACAACTGATCTCATAAAAACATGAGAGAAGCCAATTTTGGATCAGGCCAGTGGTCCCTCCAGTCCAACACTGTCACACAGTGGCCAAAAATACCAGGAGCCATCAGGAGGTCCAGCAGTGGGGTCAGGACACTAGGAGCACTCCCACTATTGACCCCCCCAGCACCAAAAATACAGAGCATCACCTGCTCCAGAGTCCCAATCCATAATAGCCACTGATGGACTTCTGCTTCATATAAGAACATAAGAGAAGCCAATGTTGGATCAGGCCAATGGCCCATCTAGTCCAACACTCTGTCACACAGTGGCCAAAAATACCAGGGGCCATCAGGAGGTCCACCAGTGGGGCCAGGACATTAGAAGGCCTCCCACTGTTGCCCCCCCAAGCACCAAGAATACAAAGCATCACCTGCCCCAGTCTGAGAGTTCCTATCTATACCTTGTGGCTAAGAGCCATTGATGGACCTCTGCTCCATATGCTTATCTAATTCCCACCTGAAGCCGTCCATGCTTGTAGCCGCCGCCACCTCCTGGGGCAGTGAATTCCATCTCCAGACAAGTTAGATCAGTTCCCCTGAAAAAAATGGCTGCTTTGGAGGGTGGATCTATGGCATGAGGTCCCTTTTCTCCCCAGGCTCCACCCCCTCCCCAAAATCTCCAGGTATTTTTCAACCCAGAGCCGGCAACCATATATCTTTGTTTTCCTGAGCCAAAATAGTCCCCAAAGATATCTGCGGTGCCAACCAAAGCAGTGACATCATTCAAAGCCTGCTGACTTTAATGGACCGAGAAGGGTGTAACTGCTTAGGAAGATATGGACGAGGCGTTACTTTCATTGGCAAAAACACATATAACATGAGTGCAAACAGGAAAAAAAAATGGGTGAGGGTGGGGAGATAAGATTTTATCACAAACTGAGGCCAGAAGGTCTTGCAGTGCAAGAGGTAGGTGTGTTTCATTGTTGTGTGGAGCAGAAGCGATAAGAACGCCGAACACTGAATGGTGTGGGCCACTTTCAACTCTGGCAGACCGGTAAAACAAGATGCAGGTCACTCTATCTAAAGCAGGGGTGTCGAACTCATTTGTTATGAGGACCGGATATGACATAAACGAGACCTTGTTGGGCCGGGCCGTGTGTGTCATAAAAGGTAATGCCAGGTAGTGGAGATATAAACTTTATAAAGGACACAAACACAAAGGTGGGTTTTTTTAACTTAAAATAAAAACATGCTTAAAACATTAGCACTCTTGCAATATTTTGTTTACTTAACCGTGTCTGATAACTGACACCTCTTTCTCTGAATTATTGCATCAAAATTTCTGTGCTTTGCAATCTTGAGTCTGCTGTTCAGGTGTGTATCTGTAAACTGCGAACCTACGATGACGCAGCAGCAGCAGAACTGGAAGAAGAAGCAGAAGACAGCCAGTTCCACTGCGGGCCTGATAGAAGCCCTCCGGGGGCCTGATCTGACCCCCGGGCTACATGTTTGAAACCCATGATCAAAAGCAAAGCGGCTGGCCGCTATACAGATGTTAAAAGGTAGAAAAGGTAGTGACCTTGGACTTCTTTGGTGGTCTCCCTCTAAATACCAACCAGGGCCAATCCTGCTTAACTTCCAAGATCTGACAAGATTGGGCTTGCCTGGAATATGCAGTAAAATAACTAATAGGGGGGGGAAAGGGAGAAACCATTAAAATTGGCCAGATGTCTACTGAACGTGTTCCAGAAGCCAAAGAATGGAGCAGCTCAGAGTTGGAGCAGAGGTCCATCAGTGGCTATTAGCCACAAGGTATAGAGGGAACACTACGTCTGGGGCAATGATGCTCTGCATTTGTGGTGCTTGGGGGGCAAGAGTGGGAGGGCTTCTGGAGTTCTGGCCTCGCTGGTGGACCTCCTGAGGACACCTGGGTTTTAGCCACTGTGTGACAGAGTGTTGGACTGGATGGGCCATTGGCCTGACCCGACATGGCTTCTCTTATATTCTTCTGGCTAAAGGGGGAAAGTAGGAGAAATAATTTAATTTCTGAAGAGTTTTGACCATCCTGAAAGGGGAGATTTGGATGGTGGTGGTGGGATTGTCCTCCCACCATTCCTTGTTTGGTGTAGTGGTTAAGTGCGCTGACTCTAATCTGGGAGAACCGGATTTGATTCCCCACTCCTCCACTTGCACCTGCTGGATGACCTTGGGAAAGCCACAGTTCTGACAAGAGCTGTCCTTGAAAAAGAGCCATTTCCGTCAGAGCCCTCTCAGCCCCACCTACCTCACAGGGTGTCTGTGGTGGGGAGGGGAAGGGAAAGGAGTTTGTAAGCTGCTCTAAGACTCTCTTGGGTAGTGAAGGGCGGGATATAAATCCAATCTCTTCTTCTTCTAGGTGTATATTTATTGATATCCTACCATTACCAGGCAATAGATTACAATTTTATGAAACTGAAAATAATTGTCCTTATGTATGTAAATATGATTCTTTAAAAGAGACAGGAGAATTCCCCCCCCCCAGGCTGTTGGAGGGAGGAGAGAAAAAAGAGGCTTGGTGTCCCGTAACACACACAGATGTGCATGCGGGCACCTGAAGTTTCTCATGGCTGGTGGATAAATACCTTCGCCCAACAAATGAGATACCGTGACATCTCCATTAAATGGGCTGTTGTTTTCCTCCGGGCCGCTGGCAACCGTACTCCCCCCCCCTACTGAGGGTAAGCTCATGTCGAATTTATATAC